GGCTGATAGAGGGCCGGACACCGGTGCACATCATATACGCGGCCGCATACCTGGCCTGGAAGTCCCTTAAGCCGTACGATCGCCGCAAAGTGCGATTACCCGAGTTTTGTCGACAGATGGACATCGCGTACAAACACACCACTTGTGAACGAGTGAACGAACTCATGAAAGCCATCACACGATTGGCCGACAAACTGGTCAGACCTCGCGAAGACTCTGGAAAGACGTTAACCATCAATAAGTCCAATATTGGGATACATTTAGATCGCGTACTCGACTACCAGTCGTCACTCATATTTGATTACAACCAACACTTGAAGCGCCAATTTGTGGCCAATGGTATGGACGCGGAGGACGACGAAGAGGATAATCCTGACTACAAGTCCGGCGATTGGATTAATGCGTTCAAAACGCGACAGAGAAAAAAGGCCAAAACCGTTGACGAGAGGCCCAGTTGTGAGGAACCAGTGGTTTATAACGAAAAGGGAGAAGTAGTGATCAAAGACATGCCCTTCGAGGACACTGAGATCGAGAGGTACTTGAGGTCTGAAAAAGAGGTCAAAATGATTAAGAAATTGAAGGAATACTCCGATCCGTGCGATTAGACACACAATTAGTGGCCACATACGGAGTCTTGACGAAGAGTTAGGATCTAATCATTTTGTTTATAAACGATAATTGTTAGGGTTCTTGAAAGCCCTGGTATTCATGATCTCATTTCCTATCCATTATTATGTAAATTATATATTTTCATACAATTTATATACATATATGAAATGTTGACATATATTTCCGTGTATTATAATGTGAATTAAAATTTAATTCTATTATTTATTTAATATATTAATGTATGATATTTGTTATCGAATTAACTAAATACCGGTAACTAAATGTATGTTTTTGTATTTCGTAGACCTGTCTATTCAATGATTAAAACTTATATTCATTTTTGCAAAATAATAAAAAATTGATTCAATTTAACACTAATTATCACTTTATTTAATGGGATTTGAGTCGTGAACAAAGTATCAGGTTTTCATTGTTATAAATTTTAAATATTTATTGCTTTGCCTAATAAATCAAAGTTAAAATATATCAAATCTCAATATAATTTCTAATATGTTTTTGCTTTTCTCGTGGTAATTATGACTTAGAGTGCAAACCGATTGAATCAACCAATGCTTTGTTTCAAATCCTGTTATTTATAATCCGATTGCTTAGCACTAAATGCCACACATTTGTCATTAAATTACTATAAATATTGATCATCTTTATTACTGTATGAGTGGTTATAACTTATAACATATAATCATTTATATTCATTTATTGAGTCATTTATTGATTTGAAATACAAGATCAAAAATATGAATAAAATATTAAAACTATAGCATATTTTAATCGCAAATACATTGTGTCCACAAATGGGGTTAGAATTGAAACATGAGTGACAAACTGTAACACAATATCAAACAATATCTCAAAACATGCGCTAATATTGAGTGAAATACAAGTTTTGAAACAAATAAAAGTGAATACTAATTGAAATTAGGGTTTGTTTTACTTGAAAATATGGTCAATAAAAACAATGATAGACAAAGAGTGCCAGAAAAGGATGGCCCGGAGAGAGGCGGTGGCGATGGAAGCGGTGGTGGAAGTGGTTTGGGTGATAATGTCTGGTCCGGCGATCACTGCTATGCCATCAAAGATAAGCCAAAAGCACGTCGAGTGAGAAAACGTGTGAAACTGAATGAAAATGTTAAAAGTGGGCGAAAAGTGAAATCACTTGCCATTGATATCACACACGACTTAAAGAGTACCAAAAAGTCTTATAATCTATACTTTGATACCAAAGCGCCCGTTGAAGTGAAGATCTTCAGAGACTTCATCGACGGTGACGACGAGCGTCGTGTCAATGATGGCAAACGTAAGACTAAAGACAAGTAATCGGGTTTTGATTGAATTCAATCTTTTTATATTTGATATACTTTTTATATAAAATACTATTTTTTGAAACACAATTATGTAAATGTTTTGAACATTAATTGATTAATAAATATTTTTTGTGATAAATTTTGTACATTGTATAAAATTTTATTTAAATTTAATTAAATTTAATGGTATAGAACTTGTTAGCGAACTAAAAGTGATAGCGATGTGTAAAGCGATTGTTTTAGATTTATTTAAGTTAAAAATAATTTATAATGAATTACTAAATCACTTGCTTTTAAAACAGTTTAATTTAAACTTGTGTTAATTCAACACAAATCATGGTTTAAAATAAATGAGTTGTGAGAGTAATTATAACCACGTTTTCATTTCATTTATCAATGTTTTAAAAGTTTGCATAATTTTTCGATTATGAATTTAAAAGTAATTTACATAAACATAAATTAGTTTTGCAGTCAATTAAACAGTCAATTAGTGAATAAAACACGATTTACCATAATTATTGACTAATTGACATAATACATGTTGGTAATACTGTGTTAAATTTGATAACAATGATCACAATTAGCCATCGATTTCCCTAATGGACAGAAAGCCGTCTCTATTTCTATCAATTTTTCTGAACTCAAAGCCGACATCGAAATGATGGATACGTTTTCTATTCAAATACTTTTTGGTTTCTTTGAGAGAGACTTTACGGTCAGAATTGGTGTCGACTTCAGCGAAGAGACGGTTGACATCCATTGAATTCTTGGTCACATTGGATATGGAGAGCACTTTTCCGTATAAGTACTTCACTTTACAACCGGACGCTATGTTCCAACACCAGAGGCTGGAGTCTCCCCGACGGCAACCGCCCTCACAGTTACAGCCAAACACATTACACGTGCGGAGACCGCAGTATACGGTGGCTTCGGTGCAGTCGTAACACCGGTCGTGACTTTTGGACACATCGGGACAATTGAGAGGCACGTGACAGCACTCGGCGACCACCGGATCCATGTGTGACACCATAAGCGCCGTTAATAGTGTACAGTAAATAAGCGTTTTGTTCATTCCCTTATTCCCAGACTCAATGTTTAGTCAAATGTTAGCTATTATTACTCTCAATAAATATTATTATTTATAGTACGGATAATATTTGTGCAAAACTTGTTATGAATATTCTAAAACACACTATTTAATTAGTTTTAAGTACATTAGGGTATACTGTATTGTAAGAGATATATATAATAGTGATTTACAACAGGATTTGCAGTGAAAATGTAAAATGAATAGGAAATGGCAAACAAGGATTAGTGTCATTACTATTCCTTTGATTATTTGTTTGTCAATAAATTTATAATAAATATATTAATAAATTACATAATACTGTATTTTTACACATTTTATGGTGTACTGGGAATTGTATTTGGGGATTACGTATATTGAAATACTATGGTATGTTGAACATGGTGATAATTAAAACAATAAAAGTACAGTATTCCAATTTGAACTCTAAAACTCTGTACATTTGTGATGAACTTGTTGTGGATAGAAATTTTCCATAATTACAATTCTGTCAATTAATTAATATGATTGCATTCATTGATAATTTAAAAACAATTACTGAAAATATATCAATAGTAATAAATCTTTATGTCAAAAGCAATTTAAATATAATATACAAATTATACTTATATTTTGTTATAAATAATAATTAATTTTCGTCAAATACACTATCAGAATTTAAAAAGAACTTGTTCCAGGTTAACACGCTGGTACAAGACCTCTAGTGGCGGGTGGTGCTCCAACGTGTGCCCTTTCATAATAGGTTCAAATTGGCTGTGTTTCATCAAATCACAGAATCCTAGAAATAATTCCAACACTGCCTTAATTATACCACCGATTAAGTTGGATAATATGCCCACAACACCACCCAATAGGCCAGACCCGGCCTGGCGTTCACTTATTGCATGGCTTGTGATGGCTACAAGTTAATAGTTGACAAGTATTTTAATTAATATTTTAAGTGTTATTAAATTTATCATAATTACCTTCAGCTGAGACGCCAGCAAACAGCCATAGACTGACTGTTAGAGTGAATATTATGGTGAAAATGCATTTCATTTTGTGAGTTACGTATACCGTGTATGCGAATCAGATTTATTAATATAATTTGATTAATTTCTATGCATTACTAGTATTTATGCCTTTAATTATCTTTGTTATTCTTGTGGTGAATGACAAACACAACTGTATTTTAAATTTAATTTTGAAGTCTGTTGAAAATGACAACTCATAGAAACAATATTATATCAACAATTTTTACTATATTTAGAAGTTTGACATTTAATTAAAAATTAAAAACAAATCTGGTGATATATCACTTAATTCTGATTATGGTGATTTGCATAGTAACCATTTATTACACGTTTATGGCATATCTGTGCATGAATTTACTATAATAATATTATGTTCATTTATTGTTACTTTGTATTATTAATATTTTTTAGTTAATATATTTTTGGTTTATTCTATTAATAATTAATTGCAAAATCAGTTTTAAGTTTATTAAATGCAAAATATAAGCAAAAGCCAAATAGTTTACTAGATTTTAGAAAATAAGGGCATTTTAATCAAATTTGTTGTGAAAATTTAATATTTTAATTAAATTAATTAATTGAAAAATACATATTACAAAACTTTTACAATATATACTAAATCAGACAATCAATTAATTATTAAACCATTTTGAGTCCACCGGCGATGAGTTTAAGCGTTTTATATAAATCGTTCAATAGTTTGACGAGAGTGTCGTTACCGGTGCCGGCAATGGGTGCCAATATTGTGCCCCACGGGGCTGGAAGTGTTTCGGCCATATAATTGAAATCTCTCAATGTATTGATGATAGTGAGGACAATGTTGGCCATGGCGTCCACAATAAGGCTCAAAACACCCCCGACTAGTGGTCGCGGCAAACGTTTCTCTACATTGCGCTCCTCTTTAGCTGTTGTAAAAACAATGTGTAAATGGGTTTCGAAATGATTTTTGGCCAGAAATGCATCCATACATACCTGGGTTAGCATTCGTGGCACAAATAAGTGCGATAAAAACAGTGGCTACAAAGACAATGGTAATTAATCTCATTATAAATTTTTGCTAATCAATTCCCTGTAGATTATAGCTCTCTATTGTCACGAATCATAAATAATTGTCTAATATTTATGCATGCAGCAGTACTGGTGGTTTCCACTCATATCTATTATAACTACTCATACACTTAGCATATATTACTGTATAACTTTCCATTGAATATGTATTTATTGTACTTTTCCTATCGAAGGCATATATCACTATATATTGTACTTAACTATACCTTCGCCTATTTAAGACTCACTCCAATGCATGTATATTAAGCAGCAGTTAGTATCTAAAGCAAGCCATAGTCTCAGTAGCCTCTGGAGTGTGCACTTCGTGCCACTCTATGCTTAAACATAAATATAATAAATATAGTTATTGTTAGCAAAGTGTCCACTTATTCATCCCTTCGGAGGCCTAAGCACTGGAGGCGTAGGTCGAAGACAACACCCCTTCCTCTACACGCCTTCATGCATTAGATTTTGTTTTTATTTAAAACCATATGACAATTATTTAGATCATGATAACTGATCACACCATCTTCGTATAAAATATGTTTTAATCATTTTGAAAAAAATTGACTAAACAATAATTAAATGATTTTTATAAATATTTATTTGCGGCGTTAAACAAGTGTTAGAAATTTTGTCACTGAATTAACGGCAAAAATAAAGCAAAACGAATGTATAAATATATGTTATAAAATAGCGAATATTTTAGACATTATATTAAATTTTAGATCAAAAAACAAAAAGAGACGATGAAATCAAAATTCCTTTGGGTCTGTGTTTTAGCCGTTTATACACTGCTATGGGTTGGCGTCTCATCAATAACTTACCCTGGTAATCATAAATATATATTGTAGCATAAATTAATTTATAATTATTAGAAACCAAGTCCGAAGTGGCCAAACGTCAAGCGGGTGGCGGTCTATTGGGTGGCGTTGCGGGCATTTTGATCAATGAAGGCGAGGGCCTAATGAGGACCGTGGTCGATTTGGTGATTGGCTTTTGTCAATTAGTGGAGAGCGAACCCGGGCTAAAGCAGATGGCGGCGGTCTATTGGGTGGCGTTGCGGGCATTTTGATCAACATGAACGAGGGCCTAATGAGGACCGTGGTCGATTTGGTGATTGGCTTTTGTCAATTAGTGGAGAGCGAACCCGGGCTAAAGCAGAGCATGAAACCGGTCTGCGATATTATTGCCGGCGGTAGTCTTCAGAAAGTGATGGACGCTTTGGAGCACTTACGCGACCATATGGTCACACCTGTCGGGCCAGCAGTTGTACCAAAAGTGTAATTGTATTTTTAATTGATATATTTCATCATTGGATTTAATAATACTTGATTGTATATAGAAATAGTTTTTGCCAATTAATTTTATTACATAATAGTGATTTATAATTATAAATTATTTTTAAAAACTGATTAAAATTAGTAATAAATTTATTGACGAAATGGTGAGCATAAAGTATAACAAAATTATATAACAAAACTGTATTAAATAGTTATATAACAGACAATGTTTTATAAGAGAGTTTTGCAACACATTTGAGCTTTCAGTTTGGCCCAAATAAGCGGGTTATTGAGGGCCAAAATTTTGGCCACAGTTAATACGGTTGTGTTGTCCTCCGAGTGCTGGTTAACGAAGCCGTTAATGTGTTTATTATCGCAGTATTCAATCACTGGAATCGCTATTTTTGTTGATATTAGAGGTTTTTGCACACCAATAGTCACAACGGCCTGACAATAGCTTTGGCTAATCCTATCGATTAGTTTCTGTAAATCTTTTGACGAATTATCATATTCTGTGATTCCTATGATTTTAGCGTCAGTTATACCTTTCAATACAATAAATATGTTTTAGTAATTTATATGCAATGCTATGTAAAACACAAATCTCTTACTGAATTCAGTCTCCAATTGTTTGACAAAATTGTTGGCCAAAGGAATACAACTCTCACTTCCAGTCAATACAATAATTGACTCTTTTGTGAGAAATTCTAATTTATGTTTTTGTAAACCAAATAACTTTTGCGTCAAATTTGAGACGTTTTGAAACACATTTCTCACGTGATCTATAATCTGATCGTCCACTTCGCCCTCTTTGTACACTCTGTAGATCTGCTTATCGACCATCTGTTTCTTGTCGCCAAACGGCCATAACCTCCACGTCTCGTTGTCGATAATGTCGGCCAACACTAGAGTCTTATTGTGGTTCTCGTCACAAATTACACCAAACTCTACCTTCACGTCAACCAATTGATAGTTGATTGAATGCCAAACTCTTTCCAGTATCTCATAAACCAATTTCGCTAATTTCAATATCTTGTCGACCACTACCTCATCAACCAATAGGCCATTGATTATGAATTTTTGCTTAACGAGTGTCTCAATAGACCACAACGGGTCGTGATTGGCGTCGTCTTTAATGTGGATCTCCACAACCGGTGAATCAAATCGATGGCCTTCAGGGATATCCGGATTTAAAGCCAGGAAAGTGCCCGTAGCTATACGTCTATGTATTCAAACAATAGTATCATTGAATAAATATCTAAACCCGATGTTTGCAATTGTATTGACAGTATTGACCCCATACCTGACTACGAGCTCAATGGGAACCATAAGGCAGTGTTTGGCCACAAACGAGTTGTCGGAGTTGTTGTCTCTGCAGACAAACGCTGTGTTAAGTCCGACAGCATTCAAAAACTTGAATATCGAAGAACTCGTCTCAACGGTTATCCTTCCCTTTCCATCCATTATCCGTCGGTTCCGACTGTTGTCCCCTAATATATGGATTCATAATTTCGTGCATTAATTTTATATATGAATGATACAAAGTTAAATCAGTTTATTGCGTTAATCATTGAATAAATGGGTTGATATCCATCCCATAGAGCTAATGTTAATAAAATCATCAATTTCTCGTAGATGGCTGAACTAATTATAAT